GCCCTGAGCAAAGTATTATTTCCCTAGGAAGAGCTCCAAAAAAGGACTCAAGAGATACACTTTGGATTTCCTGTTATTCCAGATGGGATAAAAGGGGCAATATTTTGCATCAAGGCCATTATCAGATTCAGGTATTCCTCTGTTATGTTTTCCAAATATGTAATTGGAACTCATTTCTTGCACACCACTCTTTTGTAGGAGACAAAAAGAAAAAAAGATACAGAGATGGAGTGAGAGAGAGAAATAGAGAGAAGCTTCATCTCTCATCCTCCTTACTACACAAACGCAAGATACAGACACAACTGCATAGAAGAAGAGCTTATATGTCTTTTCTCTCCTGATCAAATAGATACAATTGCCAGCTGAACAAAACTTCCAGAAACAGTGAAACTCTGCAGTTGGAAGTTCTAGAATTGAATCCTCAATTTTAAGGAAAATGTCTCCAATTCTAAAGAGCAATCAGGGTAATCTATAAACCTGTGAGAATCCTGACATGTCTCTCTCCGACAATATATGTACCTGCTTCATCTCTACCTACACAGCAGCATCCAGGTGGATAATAGGGTCTTCATATCCTTCCCAAGTGACCTTGCAGATACCATTAACCTAAATGAGATTAGTCACTGGAGCTGTGCACAGTTGCTCTTAGCAGATGCAGCCACAGCAGCAGCACTTATCAATAAAAGAAGCTTGTTGAAAAGAGAGAGCCTGGATTTGGAAGTTTTGAAGATGATCATAAGGACATATGGTATTTGAATTTCTGAATATGCCAGAGAAGAGCAGGCATAAGGATGCGTATCAAAAAATGGAAGAAGCCTCTCTGAAGAATGCACATTTTCATGTTCGTTTTTGTAATACACTGCAAGTGTTTACACAGAAGCCTCTTATTCACAAAAGTGAAGTTTATTACTATCAATCACAGAAACAGCACACAGAAATGCTGAGATTTTATGTACAGTGCTTCAGTCTGAGGGTTTTAACACTTCTGTAGGCAGCTGTAGTTATTTTACTGGCAAATGGTGTCATTGGGAATATGCTGATCATCTGGCTAAGCCGTAACATTCATAAAATATCAGCATCCCAGCTGAAAACCAGCCATAACAACACAATAGGGCAGGTTTTCCTTTGCACAGATTTAAACATTTACGTTGAGGTACTAATTGCTTCTGTAGAAAATATCTGTTCTATGGAATAAGAGGAAATCGTCTGTGAATTAAGTTCCAAGACTGCTGTTAGCACAAAGTCAATATATCAGTAAGAAGAGGTTTTTATCTTCCCAGTACCTTTCTCGGCTCAAGGAGGTTCTGCAGATGCAACTATATTTTGTGCACTTTGAATGAATTTGAGTAAATCTCAGAAAAGCTCAGATTCATACCATCTGACTTCACATACTTAAATGAAATGCAGAGAACAGCACTTACCAGAATCTCTCCTAGTTAGTCAGAGAGACATTTTCAGAGAGCAGCAGCTAAGACCTGAATTATGTTTTGAAGATGCCTCTTTTCTTTGTGTACAAGAAGAGTTTCTGAAAACTACTGTCCTGACTTAAACACCTAAGGCTGTTTAACTGAAGGCAGTTAATTGGAATAACTTCAAGAACAAAGTCTTATCAAAACGATCCCAGGATGTGAATTGATACCATAGCTAGTGAGTACGGCCTTACAGTCTAAGGTTTAGACTACAACTTGCAAGTAAAAATCCTGGATTAAAGGCCTTCATTTAAACAGACAACACTGGGCACTAGCCTCTGCGATGACAGCTTGCATCAGAGTGCCCTAATCACTGGGCTGCAGGGCTTGCTCTCTTTCTCTGTGGCTTGCTGAGTATTTAATTATTCTATGGAAAGTGGAATAGCTTCAACAAAGCAGAGAGTAGGATGAAAATCAATCCCCTAACTCCTTAATGGTAGGGTAGGTTCACATGTTGTCAGGCACAGGAGGAAACTGAAATTAGAGCTGCCAGAAACTGATCAGTTATCTGATCACTTAAGCTAAGAGGAGAATGATGTTGGGTGTACCTCCTTTTCTGAAAACACCTACGGGATCCTTTGCAAGGAGAGATCCGTTTTTTTTGAGACTCACAGGAAGTTCTGGATTGCCTTTTAACTACCTAAGGAAATCAACGTTAGAAACATCTTTTAGGATCCACAGAAGTTTATGGATTTAAAAATGGAGAGAGCGCCATGCAATGTCATCCTCCAGCCCATTTAAGTCTAAAATATGTTTAGCTATCCCTGAGGACAATGCTTGGGGTGCCAAATGTTCAGTAAGTACCAGTAAGTTTCTGGTTTGTGCTGTACAGCTATGCATGTCAGTATTCAACACTGTAGATGATATCCTCTCTGCCAAGCGGAATTTAAATTTTATCATCTGTCACAAACAGGTAAGGGCTGGTCGGAGACGTAGCTACCAAAACCACTAACAGTGTATTCAGTCCTTCTTTAACCAGTGGATATTGCTGCACAGTTATAACAAGAAATGGGAAGAACAGACATCTCAGCTGCCAGCACGCTAAGCTAGCTAGGCTATCTGTTCTCCTGGTTCTTCCTCGCAGCTCTGAGAGGCGCCTGCTGGCATTGCTGTGGAGGTATCTACTTACCAATTTATCTGACAGGTGGTTAGCTGTTAACATAAATAGAAAGTTGTGACCTGTCTGCCACTTTCAATAACTCAGGCGCTATATCACCAATCTGTCATGTCCTTGGCAGCCCTTTTGTTTATTAGCAAATGCATTATTCATTAGGAAAATTTGCTAGGAAAATTTGCCTTAATTTCCCTCACTTTAGCTGTACTCCACTCTTGTCCCTTTAGTGGTATTTTCTTTGCTGCATTCCAAGAGCTGTTCCAAGAGCGAGATGGTGGCATGTTTCCTTGACCATTACAAGGGAACATGAGGGAGGAAGACACTTTCTCGCTTCCTACACAAGTTCTTCAAGATGTGCAGGATAAATAAGGTTGTAAAAATAACTCCTTTCAGCACAGTGAAGCGGGTGAGCGGAGAAATGGGGAAGAAGAGATAAATAAACCTCCATTTGCCATCTGAGTTAATGCTGCATGTTTAAACCTGAAGTAAAAAAATACCCTTGGGAGCAAGTAAGAGTTTAGAGAGGCACTGCGACTCAGACATAGTTCTCTTCACTGTGGCTGCATGCTCATTGCCCCTTGTTCAGAACTGTGCCTTCTCCCTTCCTTCTCTCTCTGCTGCAAAAATTGGCTTATCCCTGAAAAGGAATGAGGACTTTAATGCCGCAGACAACCAAACAAAACCTGAGGTTATATTCTATTCACTATGCCGAATCTAATATTTGAATTGTGAAAGGCTTAAGAAAGGCTCTGATCTTTACAGTAGCAGAAGTCCTTGAGCCAAATGCTTGCACTTCATTCTTTTGGGAATAAATATAAAGTCCTAAAGAAATACACTGAGTGCAGACCTGGTTTCCGTGACTAAGCACAGGGACAACCATTTTGTGCTCACAATAGCTTGGAAATTTCTTACGTTAAGTTGTGTTGTAACGCTTTTAATGGTTGTTACTATGGAAGGATTTATTCAGGTTAACAAAACAGCAAAGTCACTAATAAAACATCATACTATAATGTTGAAAAGGGAGATTAACATTAGAAAATTTGACCAAATGGATGGGATAGAAATTAGGAAGTAACTCATATACTGGAAGTAGGGAGATAAACAAGGATATGTATGCAAGACAGAACCTAGTGTGTGTAGGATCAGACGAAGCATAATGCCTTGTTAGTCAGAGTTATTTCAACTAAAGTTTCCTTTCCAAACAGCTATCTATTTTTCATGCAATTTGGGTCAGATTATTTTAACCTGAAAGTACACCCTTTGAATTGGTAAGTCTCGCTACCTGAGGATTTTAGTAGGTGAGTAATTTGCTTTAACCATCTTCCAGACAGTTTCTGAAATAGCCTTTTACACTGGTGAACTCCGTACATTTTTCACTCCTGTGTTGTCCATTTGTCTGCTCCTGTCTTGCTAGCTAAGTGCAGCTTTGCAAAGAGAATGTCAGAGACTAATGGTAAACATGCTTGCTAATCACTACTAAACCTCCAATGTCTAAAGTCACATAAGGCACGTGAAACTTGTGGAACATGACACAATTAACAGACTAAATTGCCAGATCATGATTGAGGGGATATTTTTGTGGGGTGTATTTTGCAAGGCTGTATTCTGGAGGACAGAACTTCCAATTGCTGTGCAAGCTGCCACACTGGGAAAAATAACCTGTTCCAATCCAGTCTTCAGCTCCGTAAAAGAGTAGCCTATTTTTCATGATTTCAGGTTTGGGTGAGCTGCACCAATGAGATGTTTTTCTGGCACATTATTCAGGGAGATGTCACTGGACAGGTGCTTAGGGGATTTTAAGGTTATATTCAGAGTTAGAGGAAAAGAGGGAGGCAGAAATTTCTCTTACTAGTTGCATAAAGAAACCAAAATCTCATCTGACATTTGATGAGTGAAAAAATAGGAAAGTTGAAAGGATGTAGAAAGAAACACAATTCTCAAGTATTGTTCCTGTTCAGCTTAAGCACTATAAATGCATGTCAATTGTCAATTAACCTTGCCTGTTTAAATATAGAGATGGGCAGATGACTCTTCTTTAATTTTCGCTTTTTTCTAGTTCAATTTTAAAATTAGATTTTCAATGTATGAACATAATAGAACCTACATCGGGACAAAGCAAAGGTCTTTCTAACCCAGCGTCCTGTCGCTAACAGCAGCTGACACAGAGTAAGCACAGAGTAATACTTTCCTGGAACATTTTTCAGCCTCCAATGATTTTAGCTCTGAGGTGCCCTGAGATAGGGGTCAACTGAATTTAGTAAACTTTCATAAATTTTTCTTCCACAAATAAATTTTTCTTCTTTCGTCTTCCATGTATATGATCTGCATTCCTCTGAAGGCTGCAATTTCCCACCCATCTTAGTGATTGGGACAGCTGTCTGTCAGGGAGAAAGCAAGAGCAGGGTGCCAAACCCTACCTTTTTGCTGGGTAGCACAGTTGAGCAGAGACTGCAGATTTTTGCTGTAAACAATTCCTCTGGGAATGGGGGGGAACACTGTAGAAAATTTCTCCATGGGAGCCAGTCGCAGCTTTTCCCACAGTCAGACACGGTTGCATTGTGACAACCTAGCCTTTGACAGAACAACTGAAAAAGAAGAAAGAAAGTAGAAATGGGACTGTATCTGCTGCAAGACTGAAGATCTGGCTACCTGTATAGGATAAATGAAGAACTGTTAAGCAACAGGAACATGCTAGGGAAATTGCTGCAAAAGTTAACAGATGGCAACAGCTGTATCTTACTTTTCATCGGTCTTGCCAAGAACTGAAGTGAATGCAACATAGTACAATATCACTTGTAGAAAAACACAAAACCAGAGAATTCCTGCCATAATTGTTCCATGATTCAGCAATTCAGCCAGCTAACTGCTCCCAATCACACATAAACTCAAATAAATTTGAGAAGAGCCTCACATACATGCCATATGTTAGGATAAATGTAGAACCCCAAGGATATTATTGCAAAGCTCATGTTGCCTATGAAGAACTCGGGAAGGAAAAAAGTGAATACAAGCTTGCATCATCTTTTTCAAGAGCAGGCACACAGGGAGCAGGTTTTTAAAGCTCACAACTAACTTGAAGCAAGCAAATGCACAGCTCTTCTTACCCATGACTGGATTCTTACCCGTACTCAGAGGAGCTGCTGCCCAATCCACAGGCAGATGCAAAACAGGAAACTTTGAAAATGAGACAGGATAATTCTTTAAAACTGCATGACCAAATACCTGGGGACTAACTTTTGTCACATTTGCTCAGGGGGAACACTTCCTTGCTCAACTCATTATACCTCTGCAGTCACTCGTAGAACCTAAGGCTAAATTCAAATCTGAGTTACACTTTGTGAAATTAGGATTCACCACTTTCATTTCCTCGGAATCACTCTTAATTTACAGTGGCATAACAGATTAGAATCTGGCCCTGAGAGTTTTAATATCCTCTTAGATTTAGACAGTACAAGACCTTTAGTTTAAGATAGGAGCTATTAATTCACTCATCTTTATTCACCCATAAAAGTTGATGTATGTCTGTATGTGTGTTTACATACATGATAACACAACTAAAAGTATTCAAAATGCACACGAAACTGCAGGAACGAATAGCACAAAACTTTAAATTTCTTTTTAATAATTACAGTTAAGCATACAACTTTATTTTGATATGCAGTGTATTACTTCCCTGTTTTGTCTTTGATCAGCTTTTTATAAAAGCTTAAGGGGGTAATTGTTCTTGTGGTACATGTATTAAATGTTAACAGCAGTTTGTTTTTAAGACTATTCATTCCCTGCAGAGTCTTCAACACTAGATCATAAAAAAAACTAAGCAAAATAACTTTAAATTCCCCATGTAATTAAGTTCATTATAGTAATATGCTCATCTGATTCAGTCTACTGTAGGCTACCTTGCTTTTCATATCCAGGTTCTGAATTCTGTTTAAACTCTTTTTCAGGGGTGGGGCAGCTTTTTTTTTTCCCAGAATACAGTACGGAATAAAAGATGAAGAGAATTCATTCATCCCTAGCTACTGGTTCCAGTACAGCCTTTTTTAATTGCAAACCTCTAATGCAGACCTTCACATAATGAGTGCAAGCATTTACACCTTCATATAACGAGTGCAAGCTTCCTGACACCCAGATTTACTTTTTCTAATTCTCCTTTTATTATCTCTTCAGAAGTGGTCCTGAGACTTCCAGAGGGTGCTGACCAATAACTTGAAAATAACTGGTAGTCCAAACTTCTATTCTTGCTTTTTGATCTGCTCATTACTTTCCCTGCTTTTCTCATGACCCAAGCTCTGGTTGCATACTTAATTTTTACTGACAAAAGAAACGAGAGCATTCACTACTCTGTTTGGAGTAATAGCATTTTTTAAGCTCTGCTGGAAATGTAAGAACTGTCTTTTATTAAGAACTAAATTCAGCTACCAAATAAATATAAGGAAGAATGTTCTGACTGAAAAAATTGCTAACCACGCAACTCTCTCAG